AGCCCATTGCGTAGCTTTGTGCTTAATTTCAAAAACAAAACAAAAACAGCGACAGAAAAATTAGTACAAAACGCAATAACATGGCGCTGGGTATTTGGTGCAATAGATGAAAACAACCGGCTGAATCCGTATAATGATTTTTACGTGCTAGTCATCAAGCAGTTTTTATTACATTAAAAGGTTTTTCTGGTATACAAAGAATTAGGCTAAGTCCTATTGTAAGTATTTCTTATTTCCTAACGTTGTACACGAGAAGTCAGTTTAATATTTCTGATTACTTTTGAATGTTTACAGACTCAGCTTTGTATATAAGTTACAAGTGGTTAAAAAGCAAACATTACACATTACACTTTTTTTGTCATATGTTTGTTTGTTTTTCTGTTTGTTTGTTGTAAAGCACAAAGCTACACAATGGACTAACTGTGCTCTGCCCCCTGTCCACCGCGGGTATTGAAACCCGATTTTTAGCATTATAAGCTTACCGTTGAGCCACCACGGGGCGGGGGAGCTTTTGACATAAAGTTGCAGTCTTGGAATTATAAGTATTTTCAACCTAACTGGCATATTATGCACATATGGGTGAAAAGGCTATCTATGTCAGAAACCCCTAGGATTCGGATATAGCCATCCCGTTTGGAACTACTGAAAAGAAAAAGGGCAACCAATCAGCACCACCACCATTGCCACAACAGCTTTCTCCGGCTCATTTAACTAGATTTGTATGTGGTGAGGACGCGTGGACACTGCGTAGATATACTTTTGTTTTAACCGAAACGCCGTACTGACACTATTTAGAACGAATTACACCTTACACAGTTAAACGTGTTCCAACTCTTCTTTATTTAGTACTGCACCACTGAATGGAACTGAATAAAGTTATGATGCGACAGAAACCTTGGACCTTCTGATACGCATCACTAGACCACTCCCAGCCCTGAAGTTTAGAAAATACTTCCATTCTTACAACGTGAGTACTCGAATTTTTTTTATTTGACTAAATAACAAACAAAACGATAACCCACAAATTTGAAATAATGTAAAAGAACGTCGTTACTTGCTTTGTTAACAAAAACAATAGTTCAAAACTGACTTTATAGTATTATATGGTGTAGTAGAAGCTCTGGAGATAAAGTAAACATACAAATACCATTTGATAAAACTTCTTCACATTTTATAACGAAATTATGCACCGTATAGTAATCTAAGGTGGATTGTTTGTTTTGAATTTCGCGCAAAGCTACACGAGGGCTATCTGCGCTAGCCGTCCCTAATTTAGCAGTGTAAGACTAGATGGAAGGCAGCTTGTCATCACCACCCACCGCAAACTCTTGGGCTACTCTTTTACCAACGAATAGTGGGATTAACCGTCACGTTATAACGCCCCC